GCCCCCGGCCGGGCTGGTTCGTGCGGCAGGCGAAGGCTTCTCGCTGCGGTGCTGGTCTCTTCGCAGATCGCGCTTTAGCAGGGAATCCAGGTCTAACCCTGAGACTTCTGGCTCACCTGTGGCTTGCTTTCTTTCTTTTTTTTTTTTTATTGGCTTTGCTGTTGCTGCTCTTGCCCTCTGTCTGTCAACTTTAACCCAAAAGCCGCGCCACAGTCCGAAGCCACTTGCTTGTTGTGCAACGCTGGTTTTTTCCAAGGGAGGCTGAAGACCATTGCACCACCGCGTCCCTAGGCAAACATACGAGGCACGCTGCAAACAAAGACAGAGAGTGAAATGTGTGTCACTTGCTTGTTGTGCAACGCTGGTTTTTTCCAAGGGAGGCTGAAGACCATTGCACCACCGCGTCCCTAGGCAAACATACGAGGCACGCTGCAAACAAAGACAGAGAGTGAAATGTGTGTACAGGGCTCAACGCGGGCTCTTAATCCCAGGGCTCGACTCAAAAATAAATAAATAAGCCATCTGCCCTGACGCTGCACTGGGTGCCTGGGGCAGGATCTCCTGAGTCCCTCTCTGGATAGTTGTAGTTATGCAAAACAAGCCGGACAAGATGCTGGAGTTTGAAGATATTTGTGCTTGTGGTTGTATTTTTTTCTGTCTTCCACTGACATAAAAATCCCCTTTTCCTTCAGGGAAGCACTAGGAGTTGATCCTTTCGACTTTAATAAAATAATAGTGGGGTTGTCTGTGCTTAATATCACTCAGCTTTATAATGAAGCTGACTACACTTTGGAGTGTTCCTTGCCTCTCCACTGCTTGTTTCCTCACTTAGCTTGATCAGCTTTTAATAGGTTTTTGTTGTGTGGTTTGGTGGTTTGTTTGGGGTGTTGGTTTTTGTTGGGGTTTTTTTTGGGGGGGTTGTTGGTTTTGTTGGTTTGGTTTTGGTTTTGATTGGGTTTTTTTTAAACTCTTGTCTAGTAGAAGAATTCTCTGTATCACGAATAAGTTTGTCTGATCAGACAGCTGCAGCAAAAAAAGCATCTTTCTAGGAGCCCTGTATGCCCTGTTTGAGTCTGTGGCCTTCGTTGGCCAGGGGAAACAAAGAAAACCCAAGCTTTCAGCAGTAGGCCCAGAAATGGCAGGATTCATGCTCTGTATGGCTTTTTAAAATCACTGCTGTTTTTTTTGTTTCCCCATATTTCTAGCTAAATGAAACCTCAGCCTCCCCTGGAATCCAGCCTCACTGCTTCATTAGCAAACTTAGTTTAAAGATTGTACTGACTGGTTTTACTGAAATGTAGGTGAACTGACATCAATGTTAAAGAACTCCCAAAGACTTGGGCTCCTGTTAAGTGACTGTCTGGTGGAGCTAATGAAAGTCCTGGTTTGTTAACCTGTTTCTTGGAGTTTTTTTTCCTCTGATGTTTTACATCTGATAGAACTGGACAGCAATGTGAAGTTTTTGGTCTTGAATCCTGAAGAAACACCTTTTCAGAACTGCAAAATATGGCTTGTAGAGCTGGCTGTGCTAATGCTTGAGGTGAACCTTGTTAGATTAGGTCCTGCCCATGAACTGTGGCTCTAACACCCTTATGTATCAGGATGTGTGTTTTGGCTTTTTTCCTTACATTTTTGTCTTTTGTGAATGGCAACTTGGCTTAAGTAATGGGAGAGAAAACAGTTCAACAGGATTGGCATTTTCTGTCATTAAAAAAAAATAAATATTGGCAGTGCTGTCATGTGTACCACTCAACTAACTATTCTACATGCTAGTTTTTACAAATGTGTGAGAGGGAATGGTATGTAACTAGGCCTAAGAGTGTTGTATTTTGAATCCTGAGAGCTGTGATTTCTAACATCAGGGTGCCCTGTGGAGTCACCAGCCCCAAGATAGATGAGCAGGCTTCCTGTCTGAGAAAAAGGCTGGAGTGATTCATAATGGGAGCTGCCCATGGAGCAGTGGGGTGATTGGAGGACTATTGATTTAGTAAAGAGATTTAACAAACACACCCTTCCCTTCCTGTTGAGCCTTCATGCCTTTGTTAGTGCTACTCTGTCACCTTGTCCTCCTCCTTAGTCTTAGTATCTCCTTAGATACTCTTTGGTGTGCAGAGGAAAGGCAGTAGCCCAAAGCCCTATAGAACATCAGAATGAGAGCAGAAAAAATAATTACTTAAACTTCACAGAAATCACTTTTCATCCCCCAAAAATACACTTAAAGATCAGATAAGAGGTTTGGAAAAGACAGTTATTGTCCCTAATCAATGTGGACTTGCACAAAAAGGTATGAGTGACTGAGATATTATTAGTTGAGTAATTTTCTGCCATTTCATCGTTTCCCTAGGAATTATTGTGTATGCTCTTTGACTGTATGTAGAAAGAGGCTGCTGCTTCAATCCTTCCCCTCTGTGGAAGTGTCTGAGAATGGGATTTTCCTACATAACGTTGACCTTTTACACCTATGTGGGAGAACAAATTGCACTCCTGTGCAATTCAGTATTAAGGAGCAAAAGGTAGACAGATGGTAAAGTCTCAGTGTCTGTGAGGCAAAATACTGTCTCCCTCTAAAAGACTTGTTAGACATTAGTCCTTTCCAGGTGCCATTCCAGAGGGTGATTTTTTTGGCAAACTGGCTGCCTGTTGACTTAATCAATGTAATTGGCAGCAAAAAGCTGTCACTAGATATAGATGGGAGCACATCTGTACCTTGGTTTGGGACAAAGCAGCTGTGAGCTGCCTGCACTCAGTTTTCCTAAAGGAGCCTAAATGGTCACTATTAAAATGTGCAATTGCCCAGGAAAATGAAAAACCTTCTCCTGAAAGTGTTGTAAGTTGTTGGGGTTTTTTTAGCCTCTCTGACAGCCTTCTCTAACACTCCACATTTATATACTTTGGTCTTAATTTTTATTTCATTTGACTTATTTTGATACATTAGACTACAAACAAGTTTTATTTTGACATTTTCAAAATACATGAAGTTTTATAGACTAGATGTTCTTTCCAAACCTTGGCTGTTTTGGCATCAAGTGTAACTGTCAAAAAGCTCCACTTGTGTTCTGGTGGGAAACATGTTCATTCTTCCTAAAGTGAGCTCATACCTCAATTCATTAGTTGAAAGTAGTTTTGTGTATCATCTGATTGTTTATCCTGCAGGTAAAAATAATGATCTAATATGGCTGAATGCTGTAAGAGCTGCTGCCCTTGCCATTCTGTGTTAAAACCTGTCGCCCTCACTGTAACTGACCTTGATATCAGCTAAGATAGAAGTTGCCCACATCTGCTTGAAGTGTTTTTAATTTTAGAAGTGTTTTCAAATGTCACTGGCAAAGGAAAGTTCAGAGAGAACACGTCTGTGGGGCTATGTAGTATTTGGCTTTGCAAGCAAGCTCCGTGAGTCTAATGTGACCTGTGAACTACTCCTGCAATGTTCTTACATCACTGAGCTCAACAGTCCTGCTCCTTCTCACAGCACTTGACATTACTATTTTTATAACTATGCTAAATTTTTATTTGTCTTAGATCTTTGGTATCCATGGGAGCATCTGTGGGAGCAGCAACAAAACAGACCCTGTTCCCTCCTCTCATGCCTGCAGGGCGACCTTTCCGTGTGTCCAACGCTTCCCGGAGCAGCCGGAAAGGAATTGTTGCAAGCAGTCTGCAAGAGCTCATCAGCAAGGTATAGCAAACATTCCCACTCGGGCTGGAAGTTACTCTAAAGTGCAGTATCCCAGAAAGAGAGCCCACAGACTCTTCTTCTAAAATAAATAAATAAATAAATACAAATCCTTACTGGGAAATGCAGAAGAATATGGCAGTTAAGCAAGTATCAATATGCTTGGGCTCTCTTTCAAATGCTATTGTTGGTTTTTTTTGCAGACTTTAGATGCCTTCCTGATATCTGCTGGAATAGTTACTCTGGTTTTGGAGGAAGATGGCACGGTTGTGGACACAGAAGAGTTCTTCATGTCCCTGGATGATAATACGCACTTCATGGTTCTAGAAAAAGGACAGAAATGGACACAAGTAAGTGCTGACTACTTCGCTCTCACTTGAATAGAAGTGAATGGAAGAATGTCTGTGGCTGCTAAAATTGTTGGAAAGAGGGAAGAAGAGGGAGAAAACTTCCCCTAAAGAAGGCAAGGTATCAACTCCTTGTTGAATCTTCCTGGCTGACAAAACAAGTTCATTTTTTGTTCCTTGCTTGTGCACAGCAATCTTTGTTGGCAAAGATGTGCCAAGAATTGAAATTAAATTCTACAGCTGAAAATAATTTCAGGGGAAATCCCCTGCTTTTTGAGAGCCTCAGAAATAACTTTATTGAGCCTTTTTGTATCCTAAAGAAAATTAGGACTTTGACTGCATGAAGTTAAAAAATGTCTCTAAAGGTTAGCTTTTAGAGGGGGAAAATTTCTCAAATTAAAAAGCATAAATGGGCTTTCTCCTTGTGGATGATTGGTTTAGTGAATGCTAGAATAATGCCAGTGTTTAATCTTGTAAAGAGCTGAAGTTTGTCATCAAAACAACGTTGATCTACATGCTTCAAGTTATTTTAAGACCTATTAAGGTTGGCTAGTTTTAGGCTTCTAATAGTATAAACTGTGTCCAATTTGTGGTTTTGTGGGGGAATAGTCATCTCTATATTGCAAAAATGGAGTCAAAGTCCTAATTGTCTTTCTATTAAAAGGCTGTTGCTAGAAAGCTGGCATCAAAATTTCTTCCACCAGGTGCAGAGCTAGCTGAGGAGCTGTAAGCAGGCCTACCATTTTTCGCTTTGTACACAGATGGCTCAGTGACATGGCCTCGTTTTTTCAGTGTCCTATTGCAGTGTGGGCAGCTTGTACACTTTCCCCCAATATACCTCACTGGCTTATCAACCTGCCACATTTGGGCCATGACCTCCAAAAGCAGAAGAGAAGTTGCAGTCAGGGTATGACTCCACCTTCCTCCTTCCCACTCTGCCCTATGTCCTGTCTGCCATAGCAACACAACAAGTTTTAATGCTGCCCTTCTTCAGGCTGGAAAAAGCCTTTAAAGTTAACATATCCAACTGTTCACCTAGCATTGCCAAGTCCACCGATAAGCCATGTCCCAAAGCACCACATTTATGTGTCTTTTATATACCTGCAGGGATGGTGACTTCCCCAAGCAGCCCGTTGCAGTGACTGACAACCTTTTCCGTGAATAATTTTTTCCCGATATCCAACACAAACCTCCCCTGGCACAACTTGAGACCATTTCCTCTTGTCCTATCACTTCTTACTTGAGAGAAGAGACCAACCCCCACCTTGCTACAACCTCCTTTCAGGTAGTCGCAGAGGGCAGTGAGGTCTCCCTTCAGCCTCCTTTTCTCCAGACTGAGCAGTCCCGGTTCCCTCAGACACTGCTTCTCCAGACCTTTAACCAGCTTTATTGCCCTTCTTTGGACACACTTTAACACCTCAGTGTCCTTCCTGTAGTGAGGGATCCAGAACTGGACACAGTATTCAAGGTGAGGCCTCACCAGTGCCAGGTACAGGGGGAGACTCACATCTGTAGTCCTGCTGGCTGCACTATTCCTGATACAAACCAGGATGACATTGGCCTCCTTGGCTACCTGGGCACACTGCTGGCTCATGTTTGGCCACCTGTCAATCAATATTTCCAGGTCTTTTTCCTCTGGGCAGCTTTCCAGCCTTTCTGCCCCAAGCCTTTAGCATTGCATGGGGTTGTTGTGACCCAATTGCAGGACGTGGCACTTGGCCTTGTTGAACCTCATAGAATTGGCCTTGACCCATCAATCCAGCCTTGTACATATCCAGAACTGTTGTTGATAGGGGGCCCTGTTGCTGGAGCTTGAAAGCTATCAAAGCAAAACAGCCATAAAATTGCTGGCTAATGATATACTAAAGTGTGTGACTTGGTCTGACTTATCATGGCACTGTCTGAGCGCTGGGGTGGCAAGTACAAAAAGACAGTTTTAAACAACATTATTGCTTTATTTTGCGGGCAAAAAGCAGCTGGGAAGCTGCCAAATCGTTAACCCTGAGTGGGATATGCTGAGCAGAATATGCCCTGTATCCACTAGGTGTCTCTGTAAACACGGGTGTGCTGTTTCAGTTTTGTTTGTTTGTTTTTGTTGGGGTGTTTTTTGAAGCAAGAAATCCTGAAAGCATCACTGTCAGCCCTGAAGCAGCTTAGGGCTGCTTTCAATAAAGGAGGCCGGATTTAAGGTGGAAGATGACTTTCCACACTCCTCCTCCTTTGTTTTTTTTTCTTAAAAACTCGGTACTAAACCCTAAACTTGATCAGTAGTGGTTCCGTTTCCATGTTACATTTTTAGTAGAAAAAAAAGAGGCATTAGGAGCCAGGATTTGAAAATACATGACTTTTCATAGATGTCATGCTGACAGCTGTCTCTAAGAGTGCTCAACAGTTTTCTGTTCCTTCCTAAACAGAAGGACCTAATGTCATCCTGGTTATTTGGTGGCCTGTTTCAGCGTGGGCTAACTAGGCTGCCTCAGCTAGAAGCTGGAACATACCAGGATAATTAGGTGGCAGGAACACTGTCCAGTGGCCTTACCTGTGGCTTCAGTATACTCTGAAGAAGAAGAAGCTGTATTACAGGAAAAAAAATATTCAGGAGATGCTATATCACTCTAGAACTTCTGTGTCTGTTTGAAATATCTTCAGAAGCCTGGTCAGAACTTGACCAATATTATGTAAGCTATAGACTTGCTTTTCTCTGTGCTAATGCTTTTAATTCTAGTTTAGAATTAACTGAGAACTAGCCCAAAGACTGGAATAAGCGAGGTACTTCTGAAGAGCTGCACTGTTAACAATTGTCTTGCTGTAGTTTTCCAGCTCACTGTACAAACTGCCTTTCTTCTCCTTTTTAAATTAGACAAAAAATGGAGTCGTTGCTATGAGACCAAAGAAGAAAATGGGAGTAGCTAACATCACATTTGATCTGTACAAGCTGAACCCTAAGGATTTTATTGGCTGCCTAAATATCAAGGCAACTTTCTATGAGATCTACTCTGTCTCATATGACATCAAATGTATGGGAGCAAAAAGTGTGTTGCGGTAAGTATGTTTCTACTACTTATCAGGCAAATAAGTTAATGTAAAATCTGCATTTGTTTATTGGTTCTGTGAAGGAAGTGTCTTTATAAACTTAGCATTTTTATGATTGTTACATACTGGCTAATATTCTGACTCTTCCTTTGTAAAGTGAATAGTGGACTTGTAAAATCTTACCATAATTTTTTATGGTGGAACCCTAAATTTCCTCCAAGGCAAAAATCCTATCAGCTTGTGTTCGCCATGTGGGTGTAGGTGCAGTCTCTTTGTTTTCAGGAGAGAATTTCCCCAGATTCCTTTGACTTGTCTGAAGAAGCAGGAGGCTGAGGAAGAAGCATCTACACCTTGAGGAGAGGAATTCAAGGGAATTAAATGAGAGGGGAAATTGAGATCTAATGGCAAAAGTCTTACAGCTTGCTCAAACTTTGCAATACCTGGCTGCCAAATTCACTACATGAAGGCAAAGGAAAATAGAAGAGATATGACACTCTCTTGTCTTAATGTGAAATTGTCGTTTTAGTAAGACTGTGATGTTACTGGTTTTAGGCCAACTGGTCTCTGAGCAAACTAACAGAGCCTAGAGGACCACTGTGTCCTGCAGGACCAATCTGGGGAGGATTGTGAGTTTAGCTGAACTGGCTATTGGGAAATTCTGTCTCATGCAGGGACAAAATAGTACCAGTTTGGCTCACTGCTCTCAACCACATGTTAAGAGCCTGTACTTTGTTAAAACCGGTTGTGTCCTGCCCTGGTTGAAGAAAACCTCTTCTGAGTTCAGACTGCTTCACTGTGGTGCTGTACTTTGACAACTGCTAAAGCTGCAGCCCTGAATTTCTCTACCTGACCTTTCAAATTCTGGTTGAGACACAGCAGTGTAGTGTTGCTGCATTTTATTACATGAGGACAACATCTGCTCTGCACAGAACAGACAGGTGTATGTCTGTAAGCAAGCTTTTCATTTCCCCTGAGACATACCTTTAGTTTGAAGTTTTCAAATAGTCCCTCTGACAACATCTCCTCTCATCATGCTGGTATTAGGCATTGTAATGCTAATCTTGTTCCCTGACTTTGTCTGACCTCTCCCACTCTACTTAGGTGGTTCCTTGTTTGGTCTTTCAGGCTACAGCTCTCGTGACTGTAGATGAGACTTATCTCTCTGGTTCTGCTGCAGTGATCATCCAGCTATATGCTGTGTCCACCTCTAGCTCTGGATTCATTAGGGTTCCTTCAAAGCAAAGGCTTACCCTTCTGCACTCCTCCAGTTCTTGTGTTTGTCAGGTCTCTTGAGCAAGAAGAAACTCTGATTTCTGGCTATCTGCTTTGGACATGAGTGTCAGCACTGGAACTTGCACTGTTAAGGAGAATTTGAAGTGACAGTTCTGCTTCCCTGCCAACACAGGGCAGCTGGTGAGAAAGAAATGGTACTGATGAACAGCTGAAGTATCTGTGGAGTTTTTCTAGAAGCACTTTTATGTTACAGTTGAGCTGTAAGGGAAGTGTCAGAGTGGGAAAATAGTCTGCTAGCAAAGAACAAGTTAAGAAAGAAGAGAGAACCTTGAGTACTTTTGAACACAGTAAATCTCAACTTGCTATTCAAACTGAAGACACAGGATGATAGGTTCTTGGTGTGGTCCCTCTGCTAATGAATTCCAGATTGTTAACTCTGCCCACTCATTGAGCCCACCTGTGGAGTGTGAAGGGAAAGGACTTTAAAATGCTGCAGTTGTTCTTTGGTGGGAGGGGCTCAAAGCCTGTCAGATCTGATTAGTGCGTTTCCCCTAACAGTTTCTCTCTAGTGTCCAACTGAAGGATCAAATGGCCAGTTCAACAAATAACTTCCTCCATGGCTTAAGTGACAACTGCTCCTGTGTGCAAGTGACACACTGCAGCTGCTCAAAAACTCAGTACCAGCTGCAGTTTTCTTTACAACTGCATAGCCCCTTGTCCTGTACCCTGTGGTAGAGGGAAGGTTGTACTGAAATGGCATGTGTGAGAAGCATGAATAAGGGTACAGTGTTTTTTAAAGGCTCCCTAGGCTCTAAGTACAGGGTATTCTATGCTATTGAAGCACTGGATTTTGACTACAAAGCTTATTTCATCACAGTGAAAAAAAATTGGTTTGTAGGAAGATAACTTTTCCTTCTCTGCTAGAAATAAAAGGAGAAGTGAATGGCAGCAGAGGCTTCACAGTTTTATGTTTTCTCAGAAAGCACTGGATTTGACTACAAAGCTTATTTCATCACAGTGAAAAAAAAATTGGTTTGTAGGAAGATAACTTTTCCTTCTCTGCTAGAAATAAAAGGAGAAGTGAATGGCAGCAGAGGCTTCACAGTTTTATGTTTTCTCAGACAGGAACTTGGAAAATCTTTCCTCTTTTTTGCAGAAGAGGAACACTGGTCTGGTTTCTGCATCTTCAGAAACTGATTCCTTTCCAGTTTTTGAATGATTGCAGTTCTTGTATGCTGCTTTCCCAGTATCTCAGCTTCATAGCTGTGAGACCCTACTTAACTTTCAGGCAATGAGGATTGAATGTAGCTGTCAGCATTGATGTCCCAATAGTCTCTTGGAGAACGGAAATAAGATGTATATATAACTAAGTTGAATAAATGACCACTGAAATATGATTATCTCTATTCCCTTGCAATTCTCTGGTGATCCACAGTTTACTGTAGACATCTGCTTTTCTGATCTCAGTTTATGGATCTGTACTGATTCTCACATAGTATTATATATTTGAATGCTGATCCTATTAAAACTTTTAAAAAAATAGAATAGTGAACTGAGAATTCTTAAGGCTTGCAGATTGGACAGCATTAATTTGCCTGGCTTTGCTTGTATTACTGTTGGGCATTCACTATATTGTTATTGCTCAGCTTCACATCTAATCAAGTTTGATCTGTAGCTTGGAGATGCATGCGTTGTTGTGTTAGTGAATGGCCTAAAGGTGAGGTAGGAGGTGGATTCATGCTGCAGGAATATGACAGCCTGCTTTGTTAAATGTGTTTTCTGATTCTGCCAACATTTCAATAGTTTTCAGTTAATCAACAACCACATAAGTATTTGCTTTAGAGAAGGAACCAAAATGACCAGCTTCTCTGAAGTGAGGAGGAATGAGAGAGTTCTTAATATATGTACCTAGCTCACCCTAAAGGTCTTGGGGGTGGGAGGAATGGGGGGACAACATCACTCTGTTGGTGAATTATTATTTTTTTTCAAACAAATGGCTTTTCTTCTAGGAGGGTGCTCCAGCTAATATCCCACGCAGCACAAGTAACTGGACATTTTCTTCTCTATACTGGAACGTATATGTTGCAGTTGATGGGTGAATATGATGAAGATGGCACATGTGCAAGATCAACGCGGGACTAATGAACACCACTGTACTTCTGATATCAGACCCATTTGCTTAAAGACACTATCTTGCCCAATTTTGATTGTAATTGTGTTATAGTAGGTGGATGTCCACTGATGTGAACTAACATTTTTCCCATTTGGGAGTGCTTGTAGGCCTAGTCATAAAATAAGTGTTTGGTGTTCACAAGCTCTTAACACAGCAACAGGATGGGTGGCTAATATCTGAGAATTTGGCAAACGGAGAGAGGTTTTTGCCCCAGCAACTGAAAATGGAGACTAAGTATATTTAGAAACTTGCATGCTTTGTAACCAATGGGGTATTTCTTGCACTGATGAAAATATAGTTTGGTTGTTGTGGTGTGTTTGGTTTTTTTTCATGGCTGTCTACTTGTCTTCTGAACAGACTGGGCTGTAAGGTGAAGGAGATGTGTGGTTTTGTTTGTTTTTTAAGCTCTTTAAGCTTCTGGTATTGGTGTTCAACTGGCATTGAGGTACAGAAGGATGAAGTGTACTTATTTACTTCTGCTGCAATGGAAAAACACAACACAACTGAACCTTGATTCAGTGACTGACCACTCTCATCAAGTCAAATCAGAGAAAGTGCAACTACTAAGCATAAGCTTAAAATTTAGCCTTACTTCCCTTAAAACAGGAAAAACATTTCATTGTAACTCTTCATATTTTTCTTCAAATTTACAGAAAGTTCAGGTTAGAACAGCTCATACCAGATATATTTCCTTACTATGCCTGAAGTATTTGCCATAGTTTCATGAATATGGCTTACAAGCAACCTGCTAAAGCTTCCTCAGGGATTAAACCATCACTTTTGTAGTTTTTACTCTGCAGCTGAAAGATGACACTACATCCTAAGCAGTACGTGAGGTACATGCATCATGGATCTATAAGAGATGCTGGATTTTTGTGTTCAGGGGAGAGCAGCAGGACGCTTATGGAACATATGTATGCTCTAAACTGGATAGTTACTGTTTTATAGCCTCCCAAGACCAGCTGTATTAAAGGACAAAGTTTTTAATCCTTAGGTAGAATTGTCTGAAATGTTCTTTACAGTTTAGTGAACTGCTACTAGTCTGACTAGCTTCCAACAAACTTTTCCTCAGCAGTGTAGAAAACTGGAAAATAAGTAGTATTAAGCATCTTGTGTCAAAATACAAATTCCCATTGCTGAAGGGAAAAAGCCCCAAGTTAACAAGTGTCTTTTGAGATTTTCATTTTCTTGCTTATGAAGAATTTGAGTAACTTTTAATATTCTTGCTGAAGACTGAAAGCTGTTAAGGAGACAGCACATACAGGTAATGTGTCTGGCCTAACATCAGGTGCCACATAGAAGGAGAAGCTCTGATGACAGAGTGAACAAGGAGGACAAGAAAGCAGTAGGAGCAAAAGGGAGAAGGACCAGTGTGGACCCTATGGTCTTGCCTTGCCTCTGCTGAGACAAGAATCCATTAACTGTGTACATCACCTGCACTGATTAGTCAGGGGGAAGCTAAATCTGCTAAAAGAGGAGCAGGTGGATGGAAAAGACTAAGCATTATGGTTGGTGGGATCCATCATGACCTGTCATCTGGGTCTGTTTGCTTCAAATGTCACTATGTAAGAATATTTCTTTTGCTTTTACCCGCAAATTTCACCTTCATACACTTATTTTTGTTTTCTCTTTATGAATGTGACTTACTCAGCTGGAGCTGCATCTTTCAACTCACTGATATGAAAAGCAGCCTAAATCCCACTGTTAAAGGGACTGATGGACACAGGTTCTCTAGGTCTGTGCCCGTTTCTTCAGCAAAGGTATTACAAATAAGTAGACAGCTATGAAAAACCTTATTTTTTTTTCCTGATTTCCGCTGTTTGCCATTTACTTGTGACTGTTTGCTGGAGGGGTGAAGGCACACAGCTCTGGGCAAAGGAAGGTCTGGTTCCTCCCTAGTTTCTTGCAGGGAAGAATGCCTGTAGCTTGTGACACTGTGAGGTTTCCTTCAAAAGAAACCGATAACCTCTCTCTCATTATTCATAGAATAGTTTTTATGTTAAAATGGAAGCTTTATACTTCACCTGCATTGTTTTTACCACCTCACCCACTGCCCCAAGTGATTGTTGCCATGATAACTGTTGGCCACAGTCTTTCTACCCCCATCAAGGAACTGCATTTAACTGATGCAGTGCAAGGACTTATTTCAGCTTTTAAGGATCATTTATTCTAATAAAATAAGTAAACTCTATATAATGCTTCTAAAAATATGTATAGATAAATGCTGTGTTGCTATTGGTGGGAGCATCAACATTTAAACAAAAAAACCAAACCCCACCCAACTTGCATAGTTCAACATTGTATTAATTTGTGTGAAATGTCTCTTCAACATCTGTAATACAAAAGTTTTTGCAAGTCTCAACTATGCAGATCTCAAATTCCAGCCTTCTACAGCCAGAGGCAATTGTTAGGCAAGTAATGCTCTGTAGTTACCAATGGCACTACCTTAGAAACTAACATAATAGGGAAAGCTAACTTCATATGAATTTGCAGTCTTTTTAGGCAGCTGCTGCTTTGGCAGCTTAACACCAAAAACTTGAGCTGCTGAAGGTCATGTGAGCTGCGAAGTCTCCCTCTCACAGCACCTCCCTCTTCTAATTCAAAATGCAAACAGCTGAACAAAGTAACTGAGCTTTGACACTTTCTCAGAATGGGAGTTATGTCGTGGAATGTTCGAAGGGTCTGAAATGTTTGTTGCTTCTAAATCTGCGTTTTGTCACTAAGTATTTGGGGGATTGTATTTGTTACTGTACTAACTTCTTTCCAGAGATAAAGTTTTGGCTTTGAGTCAAACTGGAGGAGTTTGTAATTCTCTGAGTTGGAGGCAGTTTGATTTTGGCTTGTTTTTGTTTTTTTTTATGCTCTGCTTAGGAGGCACAGCTTCTATTTCAGCTGTATGTGGTACACAGCAAACAACAACTTCAGCATTATGTAACTTCCCAAAAATTATATACGAGTGGTATGCAGTATCTAGCAAGAGACAAAAACTAAAAACACAGGCTCTTAACTGCAGGTATGTAGAGAGGAAGCCAGCTTTTCTAGAGGTATTTTTAGCTTTAAGTTTTATTCCCCGGTTACTTCGCACTTGTTACTGGTAGCACTGACCTGGAAGGTGTGAAACATTTTTACTGCCTCCTTGCTTGCACTGGCCCTTTTTTTGCGTGTTGCTTTGCATCACTTACTAACAATGCACCAAGTCATACTCTCTAGTTACCAAAAAAGGAATTTTCACTGAAGTACTCAATCTTGTTGACTCAGGCACTACTCATGTTCTGCAGGCAAAACAAAGTTGTTCTCTTCATGACTAGAATGAAGGATCTAGTAGCTTGTGTGTGTAATTTATCCTTACTTCATTTCCTTCCTTTCATAAACCCATTAAGCTGATGTTTTCTTGCACCTTCCTATTCTTTCAGTAGAAACAGGATTACAAGCTCTTTCTTTTCCAGGGGGAGAGGAAAAAGGCAGGGTCTAAATTCCTTAGACCTTTTGGAATATACTCGAAGAAGCATCCTGAATCCCTTCCATACAGAGAAGGGAAGGTTAAAGAAAGGAAAATAGGATTTGGGGCTGGAAGTTTCTTTGGTACAGTGAATAAAGAGATAGGTGTTAACAATTTAGGAAATGTTGGCAATTCTAAAATATTAACTGTGAGGACAGCTACATAAGGGAATTTGTAACTGACTAGAATTATAACTAAATCATTTCATCATGCTTCTTTCCTGAGGCAGTACTTCAACTAAATGCACAAGTTTCTTTAATTAAAAACAAAAATATGTTTAAAACCAAAGTATGTTTTTTACTTGGTGCCTCAATTTTTGCTGGAGGTACTAATGTGATTAACATATCAATATAAGTATCTTTGTGGGGTTTAGCATTTCTCACTGATTTTTCTACCCTACTTTGTCATATATGCAGTTAAGATATTTATAAACATGAACACTGCTGTTTTGTCAAGGGAAAATAATAGTATTATATCACTTCACAGCTTTCAAGCTCAATAATTTACCTTGCTATAAAAATAGAGATGGGTGAGAATTATGTCAGTGATGGCAATCTTTTTTGATGGTGGTGCCAATTTTAAGGAACACTGTCCATGAATAAATACATTCAAATGGTGGCTTTGGATGTTGTCTCTATTAATTTCCAGAATAACATTCCTGAAACAGTCATGAATATTGATGGCTTTATGGTCAGACACAGACAATTTCCAAATTCTGGATGGAAGCAGTAAAGCAACTGGATACTATTAGATGGCTCTGAACTCTTAACTCCTTAGTGCTGACTTGCTTTCTGGCCTCAGAAACCGTGCAAACTGTGTTTCCTTTCATACAAAAGGGAATGCCTTCCTCCACCTTTTATCGAAGCTGCAAAAGACTACATACTGCTGAGTACAGAAGATAGAAGGTTTCAGCAATCTCTGGTTTTCACCAAACTGTAAGGATCAAGGACCTCATGAAAAACTCCCTGCAGCTATTTACCTACAGATACCGTAGTACACATTTGATTGTTTAAAAAAAAAAAAAAAAAAAAAAAAGTGTAAGGAAGTATTTAGTTTATGGAAATATTAGATTTGTCTAGTTCAGGATTAACTTAGTCTTAAGGAGAAACAGCATTCAAGTGTGATCAATCCAGTGCACTTCTACCTAAGAAGTACATCCTGTACTCAGCTTGAGGGACAGTTCTGCAGAGCTTGACTATTGAGCAGTTCCTCCCTTGGGAGAATCAAGCTCTGATTTCTTGCTGTGGAAAAGCACAAAATAGCACTGTATTTGGTTTAGTGGCAAGGTGTTGGCACTGTGAGATTGATGTGTGTTGTGGGGGTGGCTTCTGAGTAGACACCAGGGGCTGCCTCTGCATTGTACAGTTCTATTCCCAGCTGGCTCCAAAATGAACTCACTATTGCCCAAAGCTGAGCCCTTCAGCGAGTCTGTGGCACCTCTGTGGAATTTTATTTAAGAAAAGATAAGAAATGCTGTGAAGCAATTGTGAGAGGACTAAGAAAAACATGAGACACAGCCCTGCAGATACTAAAATCAGAAAAGAAAGGGAAGCTCTGCAGCCCACAAAAAAGACCATGGTGAAGAAATTATCCCCCTGCAGCCCATGGAGGCCCTAATGTCACAGCAG